CCCCCCCCCCAATGTTTTGTTTTTCCAGTCTCATTGTCACAAATACAGCTTACCTGTGGTCTATCTGCTGCAATGTGCAGCTCGGTCTTAGAAAGAATGGATTTAGTTAAGGAGACAATCTGTTTCTGGATGCAAAACAAGAAAATGTCTTTACATTTCTGCATATGTTTAGGTGTATTACAATGGCTACCATGGTGACACTTCTGAAACCTTTTTGGTGGGCAATGTGGATAAATCTGGTCAAAAGTTAGTGGAGGTTGCCAGGAAATGTAGAGATGAAGCAATTGCAGCTTGCAGACCAGGGGCTCCCTTCTCTGTAATTGGAAACACAATCAGGTAAGCCTTATATTGACAAGTAAAGGGAGGGCTGGCAAGTGGGACAAAGGTTATTGGTGGTTTGGTATAAAGCTGATGACATGTTTTATGATTCAAAACCATCATTTCAGTCTGATATCAGTATGTGAACTGCCAAGCTATAATGTTGTTCCTTGGGTAACAGAGATTTTTTTTTTTTTAGAGTGAATTACACTAGGGTCAGCAAAGATAACTGTAGAAAGAGACAAAGATATTCAGAAAGTAGATTTAAATTAACAAATTTGTGGTGGGTTTTTGTTTATTTTTTATTTGTGTGTGAAACTACACCACATCTGTCAAAAGAAGTATGAAGGTTAGAAACCATTGTTTTCATTGTATAGCGATAACAAATCTTACAAAGGAATTAGTCAACATAAATAAGTCTCTTTGTTTAAAAAGTACAAAAATATTTAACTCAAGAGCTTCTGATCTTACAAAGAGCACTGCATGCTAACATCACAGGGAAAAAAGAGCTCACATTCAGAGATTTTTCCCTATTTTGCATCTCTTCTAGCCTTCACATAAATGCAGTCATGGCTCTTCTGCTGGCGGTTTTGAATAAAAATACGGCTTAGTTTTTTGAAGGTACCTACGGATTATTTTAAAATGTTTGCCAAAAAAAATAGACGAATATCGTATACATTTCATTAAGCAGTACTCCTCTGGGCTATTAATGGTCCCAACGTGCTATTGAATACATTCTGATTACTTAAAAGCTGCAAGGCTTAGTCACCTTGAAAGGATGCTGCTTTTTTTTCTTTGTAAGTCTTCAAATACTTTAAGGAAAAAAGAGAACAGCAAAATATCAGTTAGATGTATTTATAGCTTTAAAAATATTGTAACAGAGTCTGAATCAAACTTTAGTAAAACCTCTTTGGGTTATATCTGAGAAGCTTTTATTGAAGACTTTGTATAAAATTGTGTTTTTGACAGTTTTAAATTATAGGCTAACTAGCCTGGAGAAAAAGGATAGTGTCTTTCTGTTCTTTCATAGGAAATGTTGAATCAGACCCCTACTGGGAAAAGAAATTTAATGCATATCTCACTATCTTACTGTCCATGAATATAATAGAAGTGAATTCAAAATGTAGTTTTATTTTTGCAAATGGGATGAGTCGATAGATGCACCTCATATTTTTGAACACCTAGGGTTCAACAAATTTACTGGTGGTGCTCTTGCATTTTAACAAAATTTATTCTTGAGTAGAAGGGGGCACAGAACACTGGATTCTTATTCAAGCATTCTATCGAGCTCTGCATTCATGGCTGTGTCTAAAGGGCATGTCAGCCTTTGATTCTCTCTGAGAGGTAATTATCCTTTTCCTGTCACGGAACAACAAATGATAGCTAACTACAGAGGCACATTTGCAGTAGTCACATTCATCAACTGCAGAAAAAAAATTCAATTTAATTGTGCAACACAGCTGCACATAGGCTTTTTGAGCATTTCTGTTGTTCTCCCTGTCTTGCTATTCCTCCCTCCAGATCTATTTTTTAAACTTTTTTTCTGGTTATTTTTTCCCCCCTTTTTGTCTCTTCTTCCATTTTTACTCTCTGTACTTTCTTGTTAAAGTAATTTTCCTTTGTGGCTCTCATTCTTTTTCCCCATTGAAGGCTATGAATGTAGAAAATTATCACAATTACTCATATAATTGAGCCTCTTTGTAGCAAGTGCAACTCCAGTAGCCTTTCTCCATCATGAAAATGGTTTCATTATAGGGTTTTTCATATTCTCTGACACCATCTACACAGAGGAACAGGCGTGCAGATGAGATGTACTAGGAACAGGGTAGATCAGTAAGGTCACAGTAGGAATAATTAGCTCTGCTATGGAAAGAGCATCTAGGCCTTTTACTGCTACATAAATGTACTGTCCGTGGCTTTTAGTCACAAAAAAACTTACTAACAAATGGAGCTCCCGCCTACTACTTTGAAAAAAAGATTTGTATCAACACTACAATTTTCCATCATTAAGACTAATAACACAGAGCCTAGTATACATCAAGGGGAATAAAAAGAAAAATCTCACATTCAAGTGGCGGCTGGGTGCTGACCTTTGTTCCCTTTTTTTGTGTTCAACTTAACTCTTTACAAAAAAGAGCCACACGCCACACCAACATGCAGGTGAACTCCAGCTAGTGCTAGCAAAGCATGGCATTCAGTTGGAAAATCTGATAAATCTCCATGCAGGATAATGCATTTCATTACAGATTCACTACATTAATTCTAGCTGTCGAGCTTGATTAAAAAAAAAAAAAAAAAAGAAGAAGAAGAAAAAGAACAGAATTGAATGTGACATTGGATTTTTGCTGTGTTCATACGGAGGTCAGTTTGCTTGCGAAGTGTAAATATATAGTCAGCGCCCCCTTTGAAAAGCAGATTAATCAAAGCTAGTAGCTGTTCAAAACTACATATGAAATAGCCGGTCATTAACTTTATTTCTCAAGATTTTATTGCGTCGTCAATTTAAATGTGCTGATTTGTTTTGAACTACTTTAACACTGCCTCTGCTGAAAGATTGCCTTGGTTTGGTGAAGCTGTGTGTTTCTGGTTATTTGACATGCGACATTTGCACGCACACAGACGTATAATACATACGTACAGCAAAATCTTCAGTTTCAGGAGAGTTAGATATCATAAATACTTGAGAACAAGCACCTACGAGGTGAAAACAGTTAGGCCCATCAGAATGGAAATGCGTCTGGGTTTCTTTCATCACCATTTCTATAAAGGTGCTCAACTGATACGCAGAATGTATCTTAGGCACAAATAATCAGAATATTTCCTTTCTACAATAGGTTTGGAAATAATTATATTGCAGAGGTAAGTCTGCATTCAGTATTCTAACATAGTCTTTGTTATGGAAGCTCAATAGCTGGCACTGGGTATTTCATGGACAGTAGTTCCTTCTCCTGTCAGCTACGAGTTGCAGATAAAAGATTGCATGAATTTGTGAATCACTTAGCTTAGAAAAATTTGAATCTTTGCTAACCTATTCTTACTGAAGGTGGTGGCAAAAGTGTCGGTCAGCTCCCGTGGAAACAGAATTGGGCCCTGTGTTCCATTTTCTTCTACCATTTCTGACACTTCTCTTTCAGACAGAAACAAATCTAGTTTGAAATCTACTTTTTAGACAGTGAGTTTAGGGACATGAAAGTGTTATGAGTGTAGAGAGCTAAAAAATGTAAATGTGATATTGTTAAATAAACCAATTTCCAACTCCTAGGAAAAAATAATAGTGATGAAAGTGTTAATAAATGGTTTAAAATGTTTAACTCATAAGTATATGTTTTGATATTAATTTAGAACAATATAAAGCAGATTTAAAAAAAAAAACTGTTTCTATCAGATTATGCACATTTAAACAATAAGTGGCTCAGGCAAAATAAGTCATTTTAATGTCATCTGTGATAGATTTTCCTTGACAGCTACTGTAAATTACAATTACACTGCTTCTCTCTGCACTTGAAAGTAAGCATTGCAATAAATTATCTTTTATTTCAATCCATCACGTCTGCTTTCAGAAACAGAGAACCTCAAATAAAAGTTCAGCGCTATTGTAAGAAAAATACAGTAATTTGTGTTCCAGTTTGAAACTAAAATGTACCTTTCTTTCAAAAAACAATTGTTGGCTTTCAAAAATATTACTAATTATACCTCAACATCTATTGTCATTATAGGGAATCCCTGAACTTGTGCATTCCCTCAGTCTAGGAATACTATTTAAGAGAAAATACTTAATATTTTACCAGTAGAATTTTGTAATTTCTCAAATTAGCTAATATGGTACTATTCAATATAGATATTTTTATCATGGGCAAATCTAGTTTAGGCTGGTGCTGTTTTCAAGAATTAAAAAAAAAAATGCACCATTCAGTGGTCATTTTGCTAGCAATGTCTCTGAGAAAAACGTGATTACTTCTTATTTAAAAAAAAATTTGAAAAAAAACAACAACAGAAAAGAAATATGCATTCATATGGATCCCTAAGTAAGAAAACAATTACCATGTCTGTTACTGCTTTCAGTGTTTCCCAAGCGTGTTCACTGCCCAGAAGCGTAAGACAGGTTTGTTTAGCAACTTCAGCTGTTTATGTCATGCTGCTCTGCACAACCGCTGTTGACAAAGTTTCATCCCTGGAGAGAGAGGCTGGCACTGCGGGGAAGTGTTCCCAGCTGGGCATCAGTTCAGCGGGATGTTCCGCCTGGGCAGCGAAGCAGTCTGTGCCATCTTGTCTTCCCTTGTGCCACCAAGAGCCTGGAGAGGCACGTGGTATTAATGCTGAAAATGGGAGTTGTTTCACTTTATTTCTGCGGTGACGGCTTAGAATGCTGGACCAGACCTGCCTTGAGGAAAAAGTGACAAAATTTGGTAAAAAGAAAATAAAATTCAGGATTTGGGGTGGTTTGTTTTCCCAAAAAAGCCCCAGGACTTCCGGTCCTAAGACTGAACGGATGGTTTTTCCTCTGGAGCTGGGATGCCTGTTACCAGTCCCATCTGCTCTCCTAGAGGCTGTCTGCACAGGACCAGCCCCCTGAGGAAATTCTTTCGACCTGCTTTTCAGCTTCTTAGCAGGAGGGATTTATCCCATTCACCCAAGAGCTTCTTTCAGGGGAGGCTCCGGAGACTGGGGAGAGCTTTGCAGAGAGTCAGTCCTGCCTGTTGCTGCTTGGTGGCATTTTCCCTGTTGGGCTGCTGGCAGGATGACAGTGCGTGTCTCCACACTTGCCCTTCCTGTCGGAGAATCAGCTGTTGTCTGGCAAAATGGGAAGAGGATGGCCAGGAGGGAACTGACGCCCAGCTCTCCTGTCTCTGCCCGCTCTCAGGAGTATGGTACCACCATGCAAGAGGCTCTGCCTATGGGTTTCGATGGACAGCCTGGCACCTCAGTGATGTTCCTTTACCATCTGGGCGACTGTCGGGCCGTCCTGATGCCAGACACTTTGCCTGGCTTTGCCATCAGCAAAAGAGGAGCAGCACTGCAGGTACTCTTGACTCCACAGCCACTGGGCTGGAACACATGGCAGCAAAACATAAAATCAAGTACTGGGCTCATTAAATGATTATGCTTTTAATCCTGCCCAATTCACCTCTGCCCAAGCATGCGACATGACTCAAAGAGTAAAATGTGTGATGATAAATATTGTCAATGGACATTTTTAACATTTATTATTCTGAAGATCCTTCTGTTTTTTCTTTCTTGATGCTGTCAGTGTGGTGCGGCTCTGCTGCCCCAGCCGTTGCTCTGGAATTGATTCGGCTTGGGGGAGCCCCGCGGCCGAGGGGAGCTGGCAGGCTGGCACATCCACCCAGCGCCACAGCTCTCCTTTCCCACAGCAGATGCCAGGCAGCCCAGCGCAGCCCTGCCGACTCCTGCCTCCTGCCTTCACTGCTTCCCCGCTTGCAATCAGGACTCCCCCAGCTGCCTGATGTCTGCAAGGAGCAGTGCGTGGAGCTGGGACTGCAGGCTTGTGAGGTTGCCTTCCAGGGAGGGCTGGGAAGAAAAGCCACCGCTGACAGATCCTGGGCTGGGCAATGAGGCAGCGAGAACAGAACGTTAAGCTGTTGTCAGCGGCAAATGGCAAACTTGGGCAAAAATGCTCCACTCCGTGGCATCCCAATTTTTTAACCAGGTTCCACAGCCTGGGAGTCCTGGAGGCCGGAGAGGCTGACCCAGATCAACAGTTCATTTCACTCTTCTCAGAGATGTTTCAAAGTCCTCCCTGCCAGCATTTACAGCCAACGTGTACATGTACATTTGCAGGATTACCCGTGCAAGTTGTAGCTGGGGTTAGTAGCTTTGGTTTTTATGAAAGCTGGGTGTTTTACTATTAAAACTCCGCAAGGATGTGAGGGCTGACTTGGTTTTTTGAAATACTCCAAAGCAAAGCTAGTAGTTGTGGAATGAAATTCCCCATAAGACGCTTCTGAAGCATGTGCAAAAACTAAAACCAGGTTGAACGTGGATGAGTTTCATACCTGCAGCTCATTTTCTCCACAGATTTTCTCCATGTCACTTCAGGTTCATTGGCCACATTATATTTTATATAAAGAATACCCAAGCTCTGTGTGTAGACATTACTAAGTGGTTAGGAGGGGGGGCATGGGCATCTGTCAGTGCAGATGTCAAAGCCCTGTGAGCTCCAAGATCCTCTATTTTGATCACAGAGAGTAACCACTGAGGCACAGATGCCAGCAGAGCTGTTTTCAAGCTGTTTGGCAAGAGAGTGGCAGAACGTGCCGTTGAAATGCACAAGAACCCCTCCTTTCACTGCGTGAGGACAGGACACTCCGCTAGCCGAGTGCCGGGGCGAGAGCTTCCCCTGCCCGTGGGACGGTATGCAGCCGTGCGGCTCGAAGAATGGCTTGCTGTCTGGCTACAGAAGGTGGATTTTTTGGAGGGGAAAAGTCCTATAATAATACAAAACATCTCAAAAAATCTCTTTCAGTGGGCAGGGATACCATGTAAGGACAATAGACATCAGCAAAGCTGAATAGTCGATGGGATTGTTCATGCTTTTGCAAAAAGACTTGGAGAAGAAGGTGAAAGAAGAGCTTATCGCATGGTGCGTGGGTGGCTTCCCCCATCTCTCTTCAGAAAATCACTTTGGGAGTCATTATCTGCATTGCTCTGCGCTTGGTCACCGGAGATCTTCCGTTTCCTTTTGTGTACGTTTCTGAGTAATCTGGCTTTCTGACTCCTCGCCATTCCCTGTGCTTCTTCCTCGGCCTTCAGCATCATCTTAGCCAGTGGGCCGAGTCTCTGACCCAGACATGGGTGACATGGTAGAAAGGCAGGGAGGAAGTCTTTTCCATCTCTAGTAGGACTTTCCGCTGCACAAACCTTCATGATTTTTTTCTACATAAATGATGTATAAGGTAAAAGCCTGGACTTTGAACACAAGCAAGTGAAGCCAAACTTCTAGCCTTATCAGTAGCCCTCTTTGCCAGTGCTTAGGAGCTTGAGGGCAGTTAAACATGAAATTTCCATTCTTCTGCGGAGTTAGTGAAAGAAATGTGATCAGTCTTTGTATCAGGGTGATGGGTAGGTGAAAGCTGATATACAGATCCTGTTAAAAACGTGCTCTTAAGGTCTGAACATTGCAGCATTGTTAACAGTTGACCCAACTCTCCTCTCCTTGCCATTTTGCTGTGGTGGAGCATCGTGTCCCTCAATTGCAGTGTCATTAAATTCTGGGACGGTGGCCCACGGGCACTGAAGCCAGCACTGCAGGGTCTGTGGAGCCTGGTGTGCAAAGGGATTACTGCCTATGGCAACCCGAGGCTGCTTCACTCCTGAGTAAGAGCCTCCCCATGGGGTTTAACATGCTTTAACTTCTGTGACAGCTTACACCTTTATTGGAGTTTCTTAACTTTTCTGCTTTTCCACCTACAGTCAAACTCTGCGAAGGCATTTGTTAGGGTGTAAATATAGGCAAACCTGAAGTTTTTCAGCACCTACCTTGATTTAAAGCAAACAAATGAAGCTTTTAATGTTGTAGGCGGAATCTTTTCAGGCTAAGTGCTTTCCTGTCTTGCTTCTGTTTGCTTTTAGAAGCAGTGTGGGGATGATGTGCTAGGACAGGGATAGCTTCCTTGTCACCTCCAGTCCGCCTCCAGGTCCCTCCAAATTTCCACACATTCCTGTTTCGGATGTGGGCAGCCCTCCTGGCTGGGCTGCCTCAGGTCACCCCCTCCACCACTGCTTCCACCATTGCCTGAGCAAGGGCAGAGCCTGAGCGTGAAGCCTGCAGACATGGGGTGGCCCAGCAGACAGGGGACACCCCACACATCTCCAGATTCTCCGGTTTTTAGGAATCAGGATAGGACTTTGCTTTCTTGATGTGGGTAAGGATCGGTGCCGGGGTGTGTTCCTGCAGGCAGCTCTTGGAGATGCTCCCCGTGAGGCAGGCCGCGAAGGACAGGAGAGATCTCCCAGGCAGAACTGAAGTGCCATAATTGTTATGATTTGCTATGGTGGTAATGGGATCGTTAGAAATACGTTTTTAATTAGCATGAACGGGTTTGCTGGAGCTGCAGTGCATTTTGGTGCTGAATGTTTGCAGCATTCCGAAAGGGAAGAGGGCAGGGCGCCTAGCGCTCTCCGTTGGCTGCAGGACCCCCTTCTCCTGCAGAAGACCCGGTGCAGGCAGTGGGTACGCGGCCCAGCACGGGCTCTGCACCTGGGGAGGACTCGGCAAAGGCTGTGGTTTGGTGGTGCGCCAGGGCCTCGCCTGCGCGACTTGGCTGCCATTTAGCCGTCCCACATTAAAATGAGTTCCCGGCGTGCTCATGGAAGAGGTTACCCTCCACCAGCTGGGGAGATGACACTCTGCTGTCTTGCTTAGGCAGCAGGGCTGGCACGGGAGCTACCATCCCCTACTGGCAGGTGTGTTAACTCTGAAACCTAACAATGGCTCACCAGTAGCTCCCATGGCTGCTGTCTTCTGGAGTGGGTGCAAAAGTGGTGACCCAGCGCTGGGACAGGGGTGAGAGCTTGTGGGATCCAGGTGATGATGCTGCCCCTGGCAGTACCGATGCGGGGGCCGGGG